GCTGGGAACCAAGGCTTGGTTTTGCCATGCATGCCAGGACACTTACTGCAAGTAGCTTTGTCCTGCCAACTGGTCAGGCAGCATTTGTTAAGTGTGAATACTTTGAAATTAGAAAAAATATAAAAATCAAACACACCAATCCCTATCCTTCATGCTCTTCTCAAGAATTCAGTGTGTGTGTCAAGTGTCGGGAGCCAGCTGTGGGGTTTTGCCCCAGACAGCCAGCTGGTTGTCAGTGTTGTGCTGTCTCCGTACAATATTTCACTATTACAAAGCCCACTATAAACAAGCCCACATCTCCTGTGTGTGAGGCACCCCAAATGATGCGCTTCAGGTGTCTTACTATTCTGAACGGCTGCCATCAGGCTCTTTCGAGCTTGGCTTCTCTCCAGTTGCCTGAAACAATCAATGCCCTCCAGGAAAAGGACACTCCTCTGCTGATGTGTCATATGAGAAGGTGGTGAGGCAGACGGTGAAGATTTGGGAAGGATTTGGCTGGGTGTTTAGATTTTACCCACCAATGGGAGTAAGGTGAACGGGCAGCGCACCATGCAAAACAGAGGGAGAGGGAAGGCTTTCAGAAAAAAGAGGGGAAGTTGATAGTCCTGACTTCTTTGTAAAAAGGGTTTGCACCTCATGAATAGAAAGGGTGGCAGATGAGCTGGGGATGACTCAGTTGTCATGGGAGCCACTTCTCAGGGGGTTGACCTAATTGTGCAGGGAAATCTAGATCCATACATTAAAGGATACTCTTCCTGCAGTCTGAGGCCTTCGCTAATCAGTTTTTAATGGCAGTTCCCAAAGAGTCAGCAGAAAGGAGCAGAACAACATGGGAAGTAGATGCAGACATTGACTCCTCCTCAATTCTCCTAGGGAAAGCTGCCTTTAACAGGAATGACGCTGACAAAGCTGGAAGATGCTGAAGGGAACGAGCACATGTTTGAAATTGGAGGTGAGTGTGGCCCCTGCCTGGGGCCGTCCTACCAGCCCGAACAGCAGCTGTCACCAGTGATACCAGTCCTCCTCCTCCTCACAACCACCACGCTGTGCTTTTTGCTCTTTTACCATGTGTTGTCTGAGTTCTGGGCATGTCCCTCCTGGCTGAGGCTACCTCCTCCCAGTGCCGGTTCCCTTGGCATCTCTGTGCTGCTCCAAGGCTGCCTAGCACTGGCAGCCCAGAGCAGGACAGGCAGCCACATCTTTGTGGTCTCTGGCCACTGACCTTTGCAAACAGAGGAGCCACTTGCTGCCCTGCTGAGCTGAGCTCCTCCTGTGTTTCTTCCTGCATCTCTACCACTTACTAAAGATGGATGTTTGACCCTCTGCTGCAGGGAACATGACAGAGCGGATCACCGTGTCCTGCAGCACCAGCCAGGACTTGCACGAATGGCTTGACCACTTGCAAAGGCTGACCAAAGGGACATGCAACACCGTATCCAAAACGCAGTCCTGGAGCGCTCATTCGGTAAGCGTGCTGCCTCCCAGCCTGTTTGCTGCCTGTTGTTTCTCAGCCCTGGCTGATCTCTCTTTTTCAGCAGCGTGCTGTGATATTGAGGTAATACAGCTATAAAACTTTTCACATCCTGCAGTTTTGTTTATAACCATGCGGTGCTTGTACCATTGTTCATATATCCTGCCCTAATTTTGTTGCAACTCAGGTATCTAAAAGGCATTCATGGTGAACCTTTGTCCATCCCCCTCTGCTTGACTACTTTGTTTGGTGGCTAACAATCTTCACTGCTTCTCATCTATTTTCTCAGACATTTAGCTCAACCGGACAGATCCGTGGCCCTCTGGAACCCCCCAAAATCCTCAAGCCTTGGAGCTTGAGCTGCCTCCGTCCTGCTCCTCCACTCAGACCATCAGCGGCACTGAGTTACAAGGAGGTAATCCTGCGTGCGTGCAGAGGACCCTGATTTCATGGCAATCCCTAGCGCTTGTGCCCAGGTTTCTTACCCATCGTGAAGGCACAGGTTTGCTGCTCCTTCAGTTAATAGGGATGCTGAGAAAAAATACTGTGTAAAGCTATGCCCAGCCGTGCAAACCAACGATGGATGCTTGTTGCTGCAGCTGGCTTTGAGCTGCAAGCAAAGCATGAGCACGTGTTTGCAGAGTCAGCCCTGTCCCTGGTGTTTGCTGTAGCCAGCGCTCTTGGGACAGGTGCAGGGCATTTTGTTGCTGTAGCTTGCAGCGTCCTTACCCCGCCTGCCGGATGTCACCAGTCTCCTCCTCTGGGTTTGGCCAGAGCTGTGTCACAGCAGCACTCAGGATCGAGCCCCCAGCCATGCTGCACCAAGAGGAGGAGGAAAAGGCCTGTTGGTATCCTGTATGATTCTCACCTATGTTTTTGTGGGGTGCTCAACCCCAGTGCTTTGCATACCCGTAACTTGCTGGGATGCAGCAGCTGGGGCGTCGCTTCCCCCGCAGCAACCCCCAGCCTGGGAGGCAGGAGGTGGTATGGGGAAACCCAAAATAAACCCCAGCTCCCATTCTCACCCCCTGTTGCAACTGCAGTGCTGTCCTTCCCTACCTTGCGGTAAACTTTTGGGATTACTCACCAGTAACTCTGTAACGTTCCTTTTACTGAATGAGCACTCCGGTTCTGAGTCACCAGCCTTTCTTGGTACAGCAGCCTGGGAGCGTCACTGCCCAGGCTCCCAGCAGGGACAGGGACAGGGATGGAGCTCGTGCCTGGCTCAGCCCCCCAGCATCCAAGGACTGGAATGCCCAGCAGCCAGCGGGGCTGTGGGTCCTCTGCTCCAGGCAGATTCTAGGTAGCTTCACAGCGTTTTGTTAGGTTTACTTCTTAAAATTCATTAAGCAGTGCGTTTCACTTTGGGAATTAAATTGTTCCAAAACCAAACAAGCAGGCTGGAAACCACCCTTAATCTTTGCATGTTCCAAATCCCTGATGTAGACTAAACAGTCCTGTGCTTGCATGGTGCATTAAAATATAAGGAAAGGCTTTAATTAGAGGAGAAATTTTGCTGTGTGAAAGTGCAAGGATGGTATTTATTTATAATGCAGAGCAAAACCACAAATTGAGTGATATCATTAATACCACAGCTCTCTGCAATTTCTCAGTTATTCTCGGCTGCACACAGCAGAAGTTAAACCATCTGCATAGAAAGGAGCCGAGAGGTTTTTCAAGAGAGGCTGTGCTGGCAGGGAGCTCCAGGGGCAGGATGGGGCTGCAAGCTGGATGGCAGCATGCAGGGCGTGGAAGGACCAAAAACATGGACACAGGCATCCCTCCCAACTCTAATGAGCCTTCAGGTAAAGGCACTGCAGAGGGTTCTAAGTCCCCAGATAGAGAAAATCCGTGTCCTTGCATTGGGCGTGGGCATGCAACCCACGGACACAAGCTTGTGACAACAAACACGAAATAAGTTCAGTTGTTGGCCTAAAATTAAAGTAGGGCACAAAGTGAACTATGCTAACAGCTCAGCACATCACCTTTCTATAACAAAGAGATAATGAATGAATACAAATATCAAATGTTATTTGCAGGGAAGGGAGTAGGGGAGTTTGGTTTACAAGATTAGAGATTTTCAGACATCCAGTGTTACTTTAATTGGCTACTAGTAACGTAGGATGGGATGGCATAGTCTTGTGCATTTCCTCATACCTAGTTGTGTTCAGGAAACCCCAGAACCTGCTCGCATACCGCACAGCACTGTTGTTATTTCCATTGAAATTGGGTCATTTTTCCTGTTCTGTTTCCAGTAATCATTTGAAATGACAGAGCAGGTGCTGTGGGTAAAGCAGTGTGTCCGGATTCAGGTTAGCAAAGCGAAAAAGATTTACAGATGATTTCCACTTTTTTTTTTTCCTTTTCTATTTTTAAGCGGCCTGCTTTGCATTAGGTGAAGGGGTTTTTAGCATCAGGATTTCTAGCTTTTGTTGGCCAGACTGGCAGGAGAGCAGTGAGGCTCCCTGTGCCGGGCATCCCACGGATGGGACCCTCTGCAGGGTATGGAGGGAAATCCTACTGCACTGATGCCTGATACTATCAGGTTTCCAGTGAGCATGGCAGGTGCCCTCCAGGAGGGTCCCCTTTGAGAAGACAAGGTCTTGGGGGATTGTCACCAGATTGGGCAGAGCAGCACATCCCTTCCTCCCTGGGGCTCGACGGAGCCAGGTGTGCTGGGTGGCTGCAGCACTGGCACCAGCTATGTAGGTGCTAGCCTATTTTAAGCACTTTTCTCTTAAGCAACCAATAGGTACAGAAATCTACTACTAACACAGGAGGCATGTTCTCTATTTTGACGTGTTCAGAGTGCATTAATGCCCACTTACCATGCGTTTCACATGTAACTTTTTCAGTTTTGCATAACACCGTTCTTTGCATGTTGATAGCAAAACCAGTACAGAGGGTGTGCCAAATTAATCACAACACTAACATTTAAATGTGGTTTAGAAATGTTGATTTAATGGACTTGGTCAGTAAAATCATCAGTCTCTCACACTCATCTTCTCTTTCTTTGCATATTCATTGTAGAGGATGTCTTATATCTTAAAGGTAAGGGTAGATACATCTCTTTGGCTTATCGTGGCAAAGACTGCTTATTGCTGTTCATGCTTCTTGTGCTTGCATGACTCTAATTTTGCCTGGCTGTATCAGTAAGTTAACATGAGAGTCAGTGGTGACTGGTAAATGTATTTTGAGAGATCTTTCGAGAAGGATTTAGGATTGTGGTACTAAACTTCCTGGCATGCCTCTCCTGCCACTTGTCATTCCTTAAAGTTTGTATTGCATGTAACCTATTAATATACTAATTCTCTCCAAATCAGCATGACTTGTAACTCAGTGAAGGAGATAAAAGCTAAAAGCTTATGTTTCTTACTTGTGGAGTCAAAGCAAACACTAACTTTGTGTGTATTTGTTTGTTTTCCGTGTATGTTGGGGGGTATGTATACTCTCAAACAAATTGTATACATTGAGAAACGATGTCATTTGCCCACTTCTTTTTAATTAGAAATCAAATTGAGTCAAGGAAATAAACAGTATTTTAGGTTTTCTAACAAAGACCCGAAGTGCTGTGAATATGTTGGAATTCTTTGGCCAAAGGATATTAGCTGAGGGATATTTGCTAAAGGAGTGTGTCCTGCCCTGGACCTGCAGGTGCAATTCCCACCGCTGTTAGAGGGAGCAGTGGCTAAAGGACTAGTGCATGGGAAAGGCAAAAAGCATAATGTTCTCCAGCTTTGCCGTTGTCTGCTTTGTAGTTCTCTAATGTGTTGTGCATAACACAGACAGCCACATTCAACCTGAGCTGCTCCATTGTTTGAGCTGCCTTTGGTTCTGGTCAAATACAAGAGTCTGTTTCTCTATAGGACTCCAGCAAAAGTCCAAAAACCATGAAGAAGTTTCTTCCAAAAAGGAAAACTGAGAGAAAAGCATCAGATGAAGAGTTTGTTATTAGGAAAAGTAAGTGTTGAATTTTTCTCTTCTTTTCTGTGGTTTCTTTGTGCTCAGTAATCTCCACGGGGCTTTGAGAGCAACCTTTCTTATGGCGCTGAATGTGGCACATGAGCAAGCCTACGTGCTGCTGAGCATGGGAGGCTCCTGCACGTGCAGCCTTTCCCAGGCACTTACAGATCCCCTCCGAGCTGTGACTGTCCTCATCATGATTCTTACTGTGAGATCACGTGGCTCTGGGTGGTCTTGTGGCTACGAAGCCAAGAGACTATGTCAAAACAATTAAAAGCTGCACTAGAAGTGCACACCAGATGTGTCTGAGCTGGGACAAACTCTTACCCGTCCATGCTGTCAGGTCCTGGAGCCATTTCCACAGGGCACAAGAGAATAAAAATGAGGCCCTGTTCTTGCAGAGGTGTTCACCTGCAAAGAAAGATGTCCTGACTGCTACCTGAAGCCAGTCTGGGGTATTCCTTGGGAGAGGGAGGGGTGAAAGGCCAGTGGTACGCTGCTGCAGTATGACCTTGAGGTTACTTGAAATTAGCACTGAACTAGGGTTAGGAATGAAGACTTCACCTTTCAGAGTCCTATTGTGTTGTGGCTGTACCAAACATCCCCAGGGCACTGTCCTCCTCTGGGAAGCCCTCCCAGGAAGGCTGTTCTGCCTGCCCATCTCCCTGTGCTGCTGGCACCCAAAGTCAGGCATCATCCCCCAAATTTTGCTAAGGTGAGCCCTAGAAGGGCTTTTTCATACCATTTAGTCATAGTGCTTGATGTCACAGGATGTTGCAAAGGCCAGAAAATGTAAGGGAATTCGAAAAGGGATTAGGGAAAGTCCCCAAGACTGTCAGTCGAGGAAACAATGCTCTCTTGCTCTGAAGTCCCTTAACAGGAAGGCTGGGAGAGAAGAATCCAGAGCACCTGGCTTTTTGTGGCAGCTGTTGTCTGCAATGTCTTACAGGTACTGCTGCATTGGAAGAAGATGCTCAGATCTTGAAGGTGATCGAGGCATACTGTACCGGGGCAGGCTTCCAGCAAGCTCTCAGTTCAGGTGGGCACAAACAGATTAGTTAATGTTCATTCTGCCTGTAACACTGATAACCTGTCTGGGAAAAAAACAGATGGTTGCATCAGACAGCAATGAGACTCATGCTAGGAAACTGTGTGGTGTTCAATCTTCAAGATAAGGGAGCTTCATCTACCTAGTGGTTTAGTTGCCATTGTTTTTCTTCTAAACACAGAGAATGAGGAGGTAGGAGGGTAGATGAGACACAGCTACTTCACCAGCACTTGCAGCACTTGTTAGGAATTAAACGAACCTAGTCAGTGCCTGTGGCTGTCAGCACTGAAAATCTGATAGTAATCTCAGGTTGCATATAGCTTTAGAAAGGAAGCATGAATATTATCTCTCAATCAGCTGCATGTTTAGAACAAGCTACTTCATAAGAACCTATCTAACATCTTAAACTCTGGAAATATAACTATTTATCATTGCTGGTAAGATGTCAAATTAAATCACTGAACTATCAAATAATGGCATATTTATAGAAGGGAGACCATATTTCTTCTGAGAGCTCTTGACCTGAACTGAGTGATTTAATTTATAAATAATGATGTAGCTTTAGGTGCCCTGAGCACTCTTGGAAACTTTCCCTTCGTGGCCTGGCTCTGGCTCAGCCGCACACCCCAGCCCGCATTTAACCCTGCCGAGCCTCCCGCTCCCAGGGCGAGTGACGGCTGCATTTGCTGTGCTGCCTCCGGCACGGCGTGGGCGCCAGGGAAAGTCTCCCTTTTTCTTCCTGATGAGTAATTCTTGCACACAGGCTCCCGTAAAGACTCCATCCCCCAAGTCCTTCTTCCTGAGGAAGAGAAAATCATCATCGAGGAAACAAGAAGCAATGGCCAGACTGTCACCGAGGAAAAGTAAGCAAGGCTGCAGATTCCCCTGTCACTTTTTGGAAGGATGGTTAAAAAACAGTGCCCTCTCCGTCGTCTGCCCACAGAAGTGGTCAGGAGCCTTATCCTGGCTGTGCCAGAAATGCCGGGCTATTCCAGTTGCTATTTTGTCCCTTTTCGAGAACAGAGTCACATTCCCAGCTGCTCTGACATGGCTGCAGCCTCCTGGGAGCCTGTGCCTGGGTCTTGAGAGCATTTATTGCGTCCCAGAGCCTCTCCGGATGTATTGAACTGGGTCAGGGAGGACAGAACCAAACAAGTGTTTTTTTTTTTTTAAGCTACAGACATAGCAGGCTGCTGCTACCCCTCGTGAGGCTGTGTGATGCTGCCTGTGAGTGCTCCCAGTCTGCTCCATAGCACTTAACGCTTCAGCATCTGGGTTATTACGTTGGTCCCCTCCTTTTCTAACCCAGGCAATGCATTCCTTGTTTTTTTTTTTTCCTCTCCAAGCACAACCTCAAGGAATCAGGGCCATTTAACAAAAGATACTCAGGCACTTCAATTTTAAAACTTTTTTTTTTTTTGCAGTAGCATAAACAAGGAAGCCAAAGCCACAGACCTTTGTTGTTAACTTAAAGAGAGCAGAACAAGGTTGCTTGGTTTGCTTTTTTTTTTTTTTTTTTCCTTCAGTGTTGAGAAAAGAGCCCTGAATTTTTGGCTGGTAGTCCATAAATGCTCCTGGGCTCTGTTTCCAGAGTGACTTCATAGGTAACAGTGCCAGTGGCAGCCCAATGCCTGCAATTGGCAGTGGAGAAAAGGGAGCTGGAAGCACCTTCCCCATAAGTGCTTCAGTCACAAAAGCTCCCACGTTGTTGCTGTTTTACTGCACTTCAGCTCGTTCTGTTTTAGTTTGGTTTTTGAGTTTTTGCATATTTTTTTTTTGCAGGAGCCTCGTTGACACAGTTTATGCACTGAAAGATGAAGTCAAGGAACTGAAGCAGGTAATTTGAGTGGTTTTGTTTGTGCTGTGAGTCGAGTGGTCCATGCCCAGGAAAAGTCTCACCGATTGCTGGTCCCATCCTGATGCTGCTCTGTGCGTGCAGCTGGATGGTGCCATGACAGGGTCCTCCATCCAGGCTTGGAATTGGGTTTCCAGGAGGATGCTTCTGCCTGCTTAGTCCTGGAACTTCTTTGTGTGTCTGTAAGGTGGTGAGGGTCTGCTTGAACAGCTCAGACCACACGTAATGCATGTTCATCCTCTCAAATGAGCATTGACCTGCCAAATGTCCCTGGTATCTTGCCTCTGAGTCACATACAGCCAGGCACACAGAAGTACATCATTGCATCAAGTGCATGGGCATTAACTGCATCTTTGTTCCTTTATTTTTCACATTGTAGGAGAACAAAAGGATGAAACAGTGTTTGGAGGAAGAGCTCAAATCCAGGAAGGACTTGGAGAAGCTGGTCCGAAGGCTGCTGAAGCAGACAGATGAGTGTGCCAGGGAGGACACGGGGCGCAAGTCGTCTCTGATTGCCTGAATTTGGGGAGAAGCTGCTGGCAGTGGTGTGTGACCTCAGGTGTTTTTTGGGAAGCAGAACTGGATCCTTTGCCTCTTCTTGCTCCTTATTTTGTTGGTTTGGGGGATTTTGTTACCAAAAAAATGTCAGAGAGAAAAAAAAAATAGTTTTTCTTCCATCCAATAAGGAAATAAAGCAAACAGAAACAATCGATCACAACTAAAACAGTCAGCAAGCGGTCCGTGATTCACAATTCATCTGCAGCAACTAATACCTCATCGTACCTACTACTGGGAGCAAACACAATCTCTGCTAGCGATTGCCGCTCACAAAGGGTATGGCAGCAGTTTCCTAGAGGAAGCTTAAGCACTTTTTAATGCTTTCATTCTTTTCAAAAGCACCGGTACCTATTTATTGAATGAAAACATTACTGAGTTGGCATTGAGCAGAAACCAAAAAGCACCTTGCTCCTTTTTTTCAGATAATCACAACTGGGGAAGCTTTTCCCATCCACCTTCTTTTTTCCCCATTAGTTGACTGTAGCGAACTAGAGCCCAGCAATACTGTGGTTCCCGTGTGGCCTTGATACTGATTAAAATGTGCAATTAACATGAAGACATTTTAACTCCTTGGGGAAGTCAGATGTGGAGCACCTGTCAGAGCGCACGGGAAGGTATGTTGCACAGTACTGCCTCCTAACAGCTCGTGATTAGCACAACGGGTAACTGCTGTTCTGTCCCCAGCCCCTTTTGTTAAGCATGACCCTAAACTCCTACACCCTGCCTTCTTTTCACTTTGAGTGTCCAGGTATTGTATGAATTTATAGTTTTGCTGTGCTTCCCCTTGCAGGACATGCTTTTCTCTGTATGAAATGCAAACACTGCTTGACAGCAAAAACAACACCCGAATATGCTTGTCCCCTGCTCCCTTCTGCCCACGTTAGGCTCTCCTTCCCAAAGGCTAGGAACGTGCAGCCAACAGTCACTTCTCCCCCATTGCCCCAAAGGGGCTTTGCTGTAGGAAAAAGGAACTTTTGGTATAGGAAAGGTATTTATATTTAGGCTTTGACAAGAGCTGTAATGCTCCTGGGGCAAGGACGTGCAGTACCTTCCCGATCCATGCACAGCTCCTCGAACACAGCACACAGACAACATGCATATGTATCGGCTATCTTCATCTTATTTGGTGTTACATCCTAGTTTATAACTGATGTTTTCCTTCCTTAGCAGCATTATACAAGTAACCTTCTGTTAAAGTTAATAATGTCTTATGTATATCACAGGGCAGCATGGTCCCAGGGCGTGCAGATACACTGCAGCTCCTTAGTCATACGGTTACATTGTTCATGAAGGATATAATAGAGGCAATAATAACAACTCCCTCATTGCAATTAAAATTCAGCCAGAACATAGCAAATGGTGTTTGGGGAGAACTAGACTCTGAATCATCACAAGGAATGTAAAAAGAAGCCCTCTTTAAGCTGTTTCTAGGACAAAACAGACTTTTTAATTTTTTCCCTGGCTACATTTGCCATCTCCAGGGCATCCTAGTTGGACAGCAGCTCTCTGCATCCTTGCCTGGGTACACAGGTGAAAGATTGGGTCAACAATTGAGTTCTGCTGTGCTGGATAATCATTTTCTAGGATAAAGACCTTTGCTGCACAAGTTAGCATGGCTGAAGTGCTGTTCTGGGATGCCGTGCCCAGATGCCCCAGCATCATCCAGGCCAGCTGCCTGCTCGAGGGTGGGCTGGAAACAAGGCTAGCAATGTGCAGTCAGTGCAAGGAAGTCAAGCAAGGGCCATTTGTGCTCCCACGGGAAGGTAGAAATGTTTCCCTGCTGCCCACAGTTCAGTTAAAACCCATGCTGTGTACATATGCATGTTTCTAAGATGTAATGTGATGCAGGGCACACTGGGACACTTTGGATCAGGCACTTGTCAAGAGCTAGAAGCCAAAAAAAAAGAAAAGAAAATAAAAAGGAAAAGAAGCCATGCCAGATGGACAGCAATGTTTCCATATTTACTTTGTTTACAGTGCTTTGTAAATAGGTTCCAGTGAGTCCGTCTTTAGATGGATGTTGTGTCAGCTGCCTTCCAGTTTATCTTTGTCATGTAGGTTTATTTACTGTAACTACTTATGCAAGTTCAACTTTTCTAACATGTTTTTATTTTGAACAGTTTTTTAATTGACATTTTCAACAAATAAAGAAGGATAAAAATTGCTTCTTAGCCCTCAGTGCTGCTTCCTTTGTGTCTGTCTCACCTCTCTCTGGGGCTGCACCCGGGGAAGCAAGAGGGTACATACGAAAACCTCACTGAGCTCTCAGCAAACATTAGAATGAAAGCAAAGCCAACACTTGCTCTGGGCATTCCTGATTTGAGAAAAGATTTCAAAACACCACAGCTTCATCACCCACCCACCCCCAGTCTACAGGGCACCGGGGGGTGCTTGTGTGAATGGTCACGCTGGCAGTTGGACTGTCACTCCCACCATTGCATGGCCCCACAGCAGGGAGGGAGGTGGTCCTGGGGCAGGGTGATGCACTTCCATCCCTCAAGTCCCACATGGACTCTGCTAACAGGGATGCTTTATGGAGAAATTGCTCTTCTCCATTGCACCAGTTGGTTGCTGTAGATAAGTCATTTCCTGCCTGAGACTTTTTTTTTTTTCTTCTGGGGATTAGGTGTGGTGACAGGATTTCCTTTGGTCTACCACTTGGACAAGACCTCCTGCATGCTGGTATTTTTAACTCTTTGGTGAGGATGCCACGTTCTCAACCTGTGCCTGAAGTGAGTCTGAGGCTTGACCACGGCTGCTGCTCAGAGCCAGCAGACCAGCGGCACAGGAGAACGGCTGAGGATGGCTGTTCTCAGCATGCAGGAGTGCCCAGCCCTGCTCTTCCTCTCCAAGCACATCAGTCAGAGCAGGAAAGCAGAAAAACAAGCAAGGCACACTGACCGTGGGTGGAAAGCACTGAGGTCTGCAAGGGAGCACGTTTGAGCACAAGTGGTGCTTCAGGGAATTACTGCGGAGCCAGAACAGGACCACATTCAGACCCAGGTACCCCCGAACCTTTTGGAAGGAACATTTCCCCTCTTGTGCCAATACAAAGCCAAATCCAGGCCTTACCCAGAAAGCCTCCATCCTATTCTCCCACTCAACATGGGGCCCATTTTTCCCCTTCTGTTATGCCAGGTCCCAAATGTCCCCTTTGCACAAGCAATATAATGGAGGCAGCACCAGCATCCTCCAAGCAGTAGGGTTTGGCACCAAACCACCATCAGTGTGAAATCAGACCAGGAAAGAAAACACCAAAAACCAGCTTCATCTGTGCAGCCCAAACCGCTGGTGTGGCCGGGGAAACCCCGGCGGTGCCAATTCACAGTAGCCTCACTGGCACGTGGCACTGCCACAAAGCCCCCGAGCCTGAGCCAAAAGGATGTGGGAAGTGAAGGCTCCCATCACCCACGGGGCTGTGTGGTGCTCAGAACACCGCCTGCTGCATCCCACTGCATCTTGCCACCCAGTGTGGGGTCAGCAACCGCAACACAAGGGGAAGCAGGCGAGCAGGGCTGGTCTTTCTAGGGACAGGAAAAGATCGTTTGCTAGGCTAGTAGTTGGACTTGACAATCTTAGAGGTCTTTTCCAGCCCGAATGATTCAGGAAGGGATGCTAGGGCAGGCTTGTAAGATCAGCAGCCACATCACCGCCATGCAGCCCTAGGCTTGGTGGCACAAGCTGGGGGGACCCCACTTGGAAACTGGTATCATGACTTTTGTTTGAGGAAAACAAACAAAACCAAAAGCCTCATTTCTTACACAAACCTAAAACCCAATACATTTCCCAGTGGGATCAACACTTGCAAAGCCACGTGAGCACCATCCCCAGCAGATGACCATGCTGTTGTGCCACAGCTCATCTATGTCCCTCTGTGCCCAGGGTATTCACCTCCCCCTCAACCCCTTTTCACTTCACTCAGAACAAAGAAAAATTGTCTCACAAACTATAAATTCCACAGCCCAAGAAATGACAGAGAGGCCCCACTGTGAGGGAAAAATCAATGTATTGACGACCTTCAAACTTTCCACGGGGAGAGGAAAACTGTCCGCCACGGCACCGGGGAGGAGAACAAAGCCGCTCAGGAGAAGGCCACAGTCTGAAATGCACAGCTGGATGGCAGCACACACATCTCCTCCCCTCCCACGCATTACCTCTCATCTGCATCCCACAGGCTATTTTTGGCAAGCGAAGAAACAGAGGCAAGAAACAAAAGCCCCAGGAAAGACAGTGGCACGAGGCAAGGAGCCCCACTTGCAGTGGAGGCAGCAGCTGTTGTTGCACAATTTCATTTAGTGGTTTTTCAGCCCAACAGCATTTCTGCTCCTGAAGGTTTCCTGCGCCTGAGAGCAAGCACTTCCCTCCCCACCCACTCACACCCATCCTACTTTTTCTCCTTTCTCAGAGCGCACAGCTTCGATAGCTTTTTGTTCCCTCTGAAGTATTCAAGACCCTATCCCCACAGTGGCCATGCACATGCACACCCCCAACCCCACGCTGTCCCTGCTACCCCCACGGCCCCCACCAGCCCATCCTGGAGGAGCTGCCTGGGTTTTGGCAGCAGCAGGGATGCAGTTAAACTTGTGCCACTGTAGGAGCTGCCCAGTAGTCCCTGCCACCCCGTATACGGTAGCTGAAGTATCTGACCTGATACAGCATCCAAAGCAGACAGCCCTGCAGGGCTTAGGTGAGTGTGGGAATCTTCTCTTCTAGCCAGGTGCTGTAAATCCCCCTAAATGAGCCCCTACAGCTGTACCTTGTGTCTCATCACTGCCCTCCTGCCCCCTGCTCCAGCCCAGCCTGGCCAAAATGTGGCCAGTGCTGCTCAGCCCCAAATCCCCACTGTGCCCCAAGAAGGGTGCAGAGGCTGCCCCAGGACATGTTTGGGACTGGCTGTCCCCACTGTGCCCCTGCACTGTCCTGCTGTCCTTGTGGTTCCCAGACCCCGAGCAGGGCCCCAGGAAGCCTCAGCATGCCCCAAGCAAGCCTCAGCCCCAGGTGAGAAGAGGCAGTGACTTCCGAAGCAAAATGCCCAGCCACAGATGTCCTAATTCGTCACTGGTGTTAGTTGTCACATGATGGTGTGCAAAACCCTACACTAGCACATGTTGTGGGGCACAGAGCTATGCAGCCTGCACGGTGCTTTGGATGTGCTCAGACAGGGGGACCTGAAATGTTGAAATAAACTGCAAAACAACCACGGCCACATTCACCTCATCACGCTACGCAGTTTCCCATGCACTTTGGGTTAGTCTCCCTTTTCTGTCCACAAATACAAGGCAGTTTTAGCTCTAGTTAAATAAACAGTTTTATACATAGCACTGGACAAGAACAGTCCGTTCTCTGGCAAAGTTATGCAGCTTTGAAGAACAGCCACCCAACTACAAATTAAATTACAGTGATACCAGGCGGGCAGCCTCTGAGCAATCCTCTCCCGCCTTTGGGAGGGGACAGTGGCAGGCACCCACCACTGGCAACGTGGTGCAACGACTGCCCCGTCTGTCCTGGCACTGCCTGCAGTTGAGCACCGCAGTAGGATCAGGTCTGCAGCCTCAAGCCAAGCAAACCCTAACGAGTGCTCAAATCTGAAATCTCTTCCACTTGCAGACCTGCTGACTTGTAAGAGTACTGCCAGTCTTTGTGCTCAGATAAGCATGAGCTGGATACCTAAAATCACTGTACCAGCAGCCTTGTGTCCTGCTGTGGCTCAGCTCATCCTCCCTGTGTGCCAAGCTGGAGGAAGAGGGTGAGGGGACGCCCTGGTGAGCTGTGTCACCTGGGTGCCCCTGCCTGAGGGCATGTCCTGCCCATCTGCATTGTCCTGCTGTCCTGGAGCACCAGAAAATGTGCCACTGTGGACACATCTGTCCTCATGAGGATAGCCAGGAGATGCTCTACACATGCTTCTTGGAGGACTTGGGGAGAAGCTGTTCCTGCCACCCCTGTGCTTTCCTGGTCCTCCTCCCAGGGGAAGACATGTCTCAGGGGAGAAAGCTGGTCCAAATCTGACCATGGTGGCCAATGCCCCTTCCACAGAGTCTGAAATAATCCACAGGCAGAGGGCCCTCAGCCTGGGAGGAGGACAGCCTCACGAGCACATTCAGCTCACCAAGAGCAGAGCACCACCAGAGCCTTACCAGAGCTCTGGGCTGAAATCAGCAGCCACCCCTTGGCCACCAATAACCCCTCTGGTGTGGGGCGAATTTTGCCCAGTGCAAACCTGGCTGAGACAATGCCACTCTGAGCAAGAAGGCTTGTTGAGCTCTGTAGATAGCTATGGGTGGAAAAAAAAGGGAGTTCTCAAGATAACACAGGCAGTTAGGGTGGCAAGGATGCATCACCAGCAGCCACCACGTAAGGACAGTGCATGGCTGATTGATTCCTTTAGAGGAGACGTTCCTAAGCCTTTTAATGTTTTTTCCGTTGATGTTTTGTAAGCAGATTGGTACAGGAGATAAGCATGAACCTAGCATGGAGGGAGTACCCTGAACCATCCTATGGTGTTAGGAAAGAAAGGCTGCTGGTAGAGCCTGCTAAATAAAGCTTATGTGGTACAACTGAGCCATCCTCCCTGCCAGGCGAGCAGGGCACGGTGGTGCACAGCCCCAGCACCTCCCAAATGGTCAGGAATGAAAGAAAACAGCAAAGTGCAGACAATGACAGCTTCAAACTTTGTTCCATTTCTGTTCTTAGGGCCCCTTGGCCCTCATTAATAAATAACAAAATATACAAATTAACAAACATGGGCAATAAAGAGGCAGAGGAACATAAATACGGGAAACAGGGAGAGCCACTTGGCTCAACAAAGTTGGGCTGGGCCTCCTGGGGAGGGGGGGGTGGCTTGGGGTGGCCCCCTCCTACAGCTTGAAGATGCCAAAGTAGGTGCTGCCATGGCTGTAGTTCACTATCGTTGAGTCTGTCACGTTGACAAAGATCATGTCGCCCTCCCGGAGCTCAAAGACGCCTCCCTCCCGGATGGACTGGAGGTCACAGACAGCCGTGGAGGTGCTGTGCGTGTTGAGTCCCCTCATCAAGAGCCGGTCCTCTTCCATGGGGAGGTACAAATAAATATAGAGGGTAAACGGTGCCGAAGCCGCTGCCTTGGTGCAGAAGCTGACTTGTGCATAGATGTAGTAGAGCCCTGCCTTCTCCACCTTCAGCTTCCCTTTGTGGTAGGATATCAAGCTGTTCATTGGGGCGTAGCTCGTCTTGTTCCACTCTAGCACTGTGAGGAGAAAGCATGGCTGTTGAGCTGGGACACATCCAGCTTGGGAGGATGATTTTTAGGGGATAGCCCCAGGGACATTGGGCATCACAGCCTCCATCCCCTATGGGGCAGGCAGGGAGGTGCTGTCCATCTCAGGACACCTTCTCCAGCCCATGGGACATGGGTCCCTGTCTCTGAGGCTGGGGCATGCTTAACCCCTGCTTCTGGTTGCTGGCCTTCCACAAGCCTTGTGTTGATGATGTGAGTGGAGGAGCACTTTGCTTTCTTTGTCTAGCCAAATGGAAATACTTGGGATGCAGGATCTCCATGGCTTTTGGTGGCCCAGCCTCCAAACGCTCTGAGCACTTCCAGAACACCCTTCAGTTCCTATATTCAGAGGCACCCATCCCAAGCCACACAGTTTTTCCAAGCTGGAAAAACTGCATTTCTTCCAAAGTCCTTTCTCCACTTGGCCTCCACTAGCTCCTGGAGAAGATAAGACTCCTCCAGGGAAGGACAAAAATGACCGTCCCTCAGTTTTGGTGCACTGGATCCCTGTCAGGGTGCAGAGCTCCAAGGGTTTGCATGGTACATGCTGCTCCCACCTCCCAGAGCTCCGTCCACCTCACAGACCTGCTGCTGCCATAACTTTTGGGGCACTACTGGTGTCCTTGGAGCAGCTCATGGACATTAATTCTGACTGGAGCCAGCACAGAGAGCTGAGGGACAGAAACCAGGAAACTACAGCCATGGGTGTTGAGCCGGGCTATGGCTCTGGGAAGGGTTCTGCACCTCCTTCCTACAGAGACAATCATGCGAGCAGTGAGGGTGAGCAAACCAGCTCCAAACCCTGCTCCAAGGGGAACCCCACGCAGCCTGTGGTCTATGCATCCCATGGGGACACCCCTGCTCCCCACCACCGAGCTGCGGAGCCAGCTCTGGGCAGCCTGCTGAGCGCGGCGCAGCGTCAGCCTGCTTTGTAATCGCAACAAGTGCTCGAGCGGGGAGTTTTAAAATGCAGCAAGCATCTCGCTTCTTTGATCTTATCTAACACAGAGCTTTCCACAGGTAGACTGAGCTCTGGGTGAATTGCTGCGTCAGAGATGGAAAGAGCAGTTGCTGATTACTGGCAGTTACTCCAGAATTAAATCAAACATGCTCAGGTTGAGAAATCCTTCCCAGATTGAGAGGCTGACCTTGCAAACTCTTATTCACCTCGGAAAGCCTTGCTCCTGCAGGTGGGAGGCTTGCTGTGCCATGGGACATGTTCCTGTGCTGGATGTGCAGTGTCCCCGTCCCTGTTGGATACCCACCACCATGCCCAGCCCTGTCGGGTGGCACCAAGGGGTCTGCCTTACCTGGCACCGCCTTGTTGCTCTTCAGTCCTGCCATGTGGGTTGCAATCGGCTGCCTCTTCTCAGCTGAAATTGGGAAAGGTCAATGTTATTGAAGGCCGAGCACCCTCTCTCCCCCCGCAGCACAGCTCTCCACCAGGACCACAGCGCCTCCCAGCCTTGGGGTTCCCCCAGGGGCCAAATCCAGCTCAGAGACACGGTCTCCAAAGCATCCCCTGAGTGAGGCATGGTCTGGCTTCTGCTTAGCAATGACAGGACCTGGACGTGTCCGCTCCTTACCTGCCACAGATGTCTCATTCCTGCTCTTCGAGTGGGGGTGCTCATGACCTGCAAGGAGAAAAGGCCGCGGTTTTAATTTTGGGTTCATTTTCATTGACTTTGTGCAGTGCAGCTGACTGGTGAGATAGCCATGCCTGGCACCTGGTCTCTGCCAGCTCTAAGTCGTGCAGTCCTACCCCATGGGGACGCCCTGCTACGCCCGGCTGACCCCACCACAGGCACCAAAGGACCTGACCCTGTCCCCTGCAGCCGCTCATCTCCCAGCCCTCCAGCAGCACCAGGACACTCACCTCTTTGCATTTCAAACTTTGGCCCCTCCTTGTTGGCTGCCCCATCCTGAAACAACAGCAAAAATATACATTTGAAACATATATCCTTACATTTCTAAAATATAATATTTTAAGATGTACATATCAAACATTGGTAAAGCCTCTGTGTAAAAGATGCTTTCTTTTTAGGTTGGTGCTGTTTGGCACCAACAGCCCTGCCAGATCTCGGCAGAAGGGTCCTGACCTACCAAGCCCCCCAGGATTGTGTGTGGCCATGGTCTGCCCTGCTTTTTGCAGTGGAGGGGGTGGGGGGTTGCAAGGCTTTTGTTCTTAGGTTTTATGTGCCTAAAAAGCTGTGCAATTAAAATGCTGTGCAAGGTGGCTCTTCTGCAACCAAATGAGAGAGGTCTCTGGACTGGCAGGAGGTGGTGTCCCTGAGCCATGGGGAGGCATTTGCACAACGTCTTCCTCCTCCTTGCAGGAGCTGTGCTGCCTGGCCCAAGCCCTGTACTGTCATCAATGCCAAGGCAAAGAGAACATAAAGGTTCTCCCACCATCAAGTGGCCACGAGTATCCTCATGCCCGCCAGGTGCAGGATGCAACAAGGTGCCAGACAGCAGAAAATCAATATTTTTCAGGCCACGATGGAGCACAGAGGTGGTAGCTCCATCCCACCCCACCTTGGGCATGCCACAGTTGGGTGCGCTCTGCTCAAGCCCGCTTTGAGAAAAAAGGGATGA